GAATTATTAGGAATTATTATATCTAGAAAGCTAAGATTATCTTGAAATAGAAAGTTATTAACAGATTAATAAATAAACTAAACGATCTCTTATTCCTTATACCATTTGAATTCTATAAGACTATTAGAGAGACTTACAACTTATCTCTTTATTATATTATAAGTCGATAATTCTAATTCTTCGAATTCTGCGTCGAATATATTTGTTTCTAATAGATTCATAGCGAAGTATATCTCTATTATAGTCAAAGGACGCTCAGCGAGATATATCCATCGCATAAGACGTAAAGTTTACTAGTAATCTTTCTTCTCAATGACTTACTTTAAGATATATTTATAAATATCTTCTAGCTGCTTTGGAATCTTTATTAACATTTGTCTTATCTCTCTAAGCAATATATTATTATTGTAATATTAAGTTACTATATTAATTATAAGAGTTACTCATTGAAATACTCCTTAAGCTTTTTTGATTATAATATCTTATTATTTTATCAAATACTGGTTTTCAGTTTTAGCTGAGGAACGTCTTTTTTCAAGCTTGTTACTGTCACGGCGCCAACTACATGTTCTGTAGTTGCCTTCGTGCCTCAGGCATAGACCACTAGCGTGCCCTACTTCTTATAAATAGAGCCTTACTTTTTCATAGTTCTTCTATCTTTATAATATAATATAAGTCTTTATCTATATTTTAATAATTTGTATTATCTTTATAAAAATTATTATAATTTCATTTTAATTAAATTTCTATTAAAGTTATAATCTAATTATATTAATTATATTTATTACTGATTTGTTATATATTTTAGTTATTATTATTCAAAAATTCTATAAGATTATTTTATAATTATAGGAGTATCCTGAAGATAATCGATTAAGTATTTACATTTAGTCTATTTCTATAATTCCTTTTTGTGAATTATATTTTCAATTTTATTGAAATTAATATCTTTTTATTTATAAATTTATTTAATAATTTAAATATTATATATTTTGTAATTACTTAAATTATATTTGAATTAATTAAATTGATTATAAATTGATTATAAATCTAAATCATTATAGCACCAGTGGGTGCATGGACTGACGGGACACTTCCCAATTTTCAATATTTTCAATAAATCCATTCTTCAATTGTTTGATATCAGAATTTGTATTTTGATTATTTTATCTTTATTCAAGAAATATAACAAATTTTAAAATAAATGGTTCAATATATCAAAAGATATTTACAAGTTCATTTTTGTACTGTCCCGTGAGTCCGTACACCCACTGGTGTAGTATAAATTTAAATCATTAATGTTTAATTAATGTTACGGACATCGATATGAAACCGGCATCGGGCCGATATTATTCCGATACTAAAGAATTTTCATATATATATAATTTCAAAAAGAGATTTTAAAAGGAATTAATAAAAAGTCTTACTCTAAACCTATATCTATATTTAAACTAGTCGTTACCTTGCACCCACTCTAATAATTAAAGATTATTAAATTAAAGAATATAATTAAAATATTAAAAATTGCTATTTACAATAACTTATAAATCTTATTTTACTGAAAATATTTTATTATCTCTAAAAAGTGTTAATAATAATAAGTAAAAATATTATAAAGTATTAGAATTTATATATAAGATTTTATAATATAATTAAATTATTATTTAATTATAAATTACAAACATAAATGAGAATTACTAAAAGATTCTCATTCTTATTAATTTATTCTCTAATGCTAATTTATCTAAATAATTAGATATATTATTTTGATATACTATTAATAATCTATATAATTTCAATCTTTAGTTTTTTAGAATGTAATATTAAGAGTAAGTATTTATATAAATTAAATAAACAAATTATCAAATCTTAATCTTTATATAAAACCTCTATAAATTAATAATAAGTCAAAATGAAAGAAAACTTTATTTAGTAATTTTATTATTAAATTCAAATCATTTATTATTAAATATTAAAAAATTATAGAATAGTAAATTATTAATTTCAAGTTCAAGATTTTATAAAAATTGATTAATACTTAAATTAATTATTTTAATAAATTTTTTATTACCAATATTAATTTATAAATAATTTAATAGCAAAATATTTATAATAATTTGAAAAAAAAAAGCCTATCTCAATAATCAACAAAAAAATCAAAATATCAATTTTAATTATAATTAATCAAAATCTTATAATAGAAAGCAGGCTATTATTATAATTTCTCCTATATCTAATTTCTTCAATAATTCTATACAATTGAATATCATTCAACAAGATTAGTATCCTCTATCTTATTATATTCAAGAATAATAGAATAATATATTGATTTCAGCCTCTACCTCTATTATAAAAACCTAATTATATTAAAAGCAATTATAAGAAAAAATAAGCTAATAATATAAAGTATAATATTAATACTAATATTAATATTAATATAAAATATATCCTTCATATTAATTATTTCCTTGCGATTAATTAATATTAAAATCCCAAATTTTATTATAATATTATTATCTCTTTATATTAAAATTTATTTTTATTTATTAATTATTTTTTAATTATATTATTATATTATATCTCTCTAATACCTTTTAATTTTATTTAAAAATTTGATTTAGTAGGATATATTAAAGGTTTTATTTATTTAAAGGAGAGTAAAAGCTTAATTTCTTAATTGAATATATTAAAAGATGAATCTTAATTTATAATTATAAATTGAGGTTCTTTATAGGAAATTTATTTTTATGAATTAAAAGATTAGTTATATTTAGAAATTCTTTGTATTTTAAATCAATAAATAATAAATCTTTTAAAATCTTAATAAAAATCTTTTCAATATTTAATATAATTATTTTGTTTAATGTGTTTTATTAGCGTGCGGGTTATATTAATATGCAGGTTATTTTGAAAACTATTTAAATCAAGCTTTTTAAAATATTAATATTTTAATAATTAATTATTGTTTTCTTAAATAAAAGATCTTAAAAAAAATTAAAATCTAGGTTTTTTATTAATCTAATTTTTATATAATAATTTTATCGCTTTTTAAAAGAAAAAGAAAATTGTTATGATTTTCATTACAAAAAAACTATTTTTATAATAGCAACTTTATAAATTCGAATTTCTCAAAATTAATTAGATTTTTAGAATTTTTATATATTCAAATATTTTGTATCAAATTTTCAGAAAATTATATCCATAAATAAAGAAAGTATACAATTATACACAAACGAATTTTATATATAAAATAAATAACCCATATACTAATATAACCTGTACACTAATAAAACACGTTATTAATCTTATAAATAATAGAGTTATAAATTATTACTTTATTAAAAAAAAATTATTTTCAAGTTCTATATATTTATATATCTTTTTCTTTATATTTATTAGTTATTTCTAATTAATAAGAAACTTTTTGATATCTTTTTATAATATGTATTTTTGAATATATAAATTAATAATTACAAAAAGATTAATTTGTTTTATATTATTACTTTATTAATTATAAACCCTATAATCCTCAATTTCCTATGGCTCCAATATTACAATTTTATTATTGATTAGTTAATAATAATATTCAAATTTATATTTATATATTATTTAAGATATTATTATTCTATTAATTTATAATAATTATTATTTTTGATATATCTAATAATTACAAAATAACTTTACTAAAAAATCATAAAGTTATATTAATTAATTCTAAATTATTTTTATAAAAACTTATTTCAAAATCAGTTTTTATAAAAGAAATTATTAATAAAAACTTCAAAAACATTTTATTATTATTCTGAAATTAATTTATAATTTTTGAATTTATTAAAATCTCAAATATCCAAAGAAATTCTAATATTGCTAATCTCAAAATATTATTTGAATTAAATTTATATTATATTTATTATATCAATAATAAAGTGGATATTCAAGCTAAAATAATTCTGAATCGATTAATCTTGAAATTAATCTTGGTTTAAATAATTATTAGCTTCAGAATATATGAAAGATTATTATAGAATCAAAATATTTTATTTTTATTATATATATTAATACTATTAGGCTTTTCAGATAAATTATTTAATATTTTATAAAATATTTGATTCGAAATATAAATTATAAAATTCTTTATAGTCAATAGCTTTATATAATTCTATAAAAACTAAAATATTTATATTACAAAAGTATTCTGGAACAAATTGGATAAAGCTTATGAACTATATTATATAATTATAGAAAATTTTATTTAATCATACCATAATTTAATAAATAGTAATATAGATGCTCAAATCTATTAGATTAATCTGTTTTAATATCTTTAAAGTCTTTATTCTTGCTTTACCTTGTACTCTTCGCTTCTAGCTTGTAGTTTTTTTAATTAGTTAAATATGACTTGAAATGAATAATAATTAGTAATAACAAAGAGATTAATATAACTTGGAAGAATAATCGATTATATACTCTAAGAATTCTATCGAAAATAGATTTTCAAGAAATAAAAATGTTGCTATATTGAGGCTATATTCCATATACTACTATTCACTTAATTAATATAATTAAATATGAGTTATATAGGCTGATATACTTTGGGTAGATAATAATATCGAAGCAGATATAATATACATATATACTTAGTATATATACGAAACCTATTTTCAGTATAAATTTGACATATTTAAATTAACTACTACCTCCTCAAATACTCCTAGTATATTCTTCTATATCATAAATATTGTTCTAAACTTAACTATAATGATAAGATAACCAGTAGTATAAATATTAGTCTAATATTATTCAAATACTCGTTTAAGAAAGAGTATGAATTATATAGACTATATAGTTCAGATAAAGCTCAGCGATTACCTAACTATCCCCAAATTTTATTTCAAAACATAATAGAATTAATAACTTTTATATCTAAAGATCTTTATATATTATTGTTTTAATAAATATAATATAATATATATATATCTTTTGAAAGCATTCAACCTAATATGAGCGTATTATATAATCAAATCACATGATCGTCGATTATAAGCTTCCGAAAACAGTTATAAATACGAAAATAGCCATAAATACGAAAATGGTTATAAATCTGAAAACAGATTACGAAATAAAGAATAAGAAAAAGAGCTTTATTTCGAAAGAATGGCTGGATTAGAAAAAGATCTATAAAAGATTAACAAAAGCGGAAAAGCTAGATTAGTAAGAAAAAGCACAAAATAAGATCTTTTTCCCTATTGCATATTAAATAAGAAATTGAATATCGATATATAGATTCTTTAATATCACGTGTTACACTGCTTATATAATCCATTTAGTTGTTAAACCGAGCTAGCTTCCATATAATACTACTAGCCTATGACCTACGATATATCAATACTAAATAAATTTTCTTTTTGTATATAATGGATATCTATAACGTGATTCATATGCGAGTGGATCATATCACCGAATGGATCACTTCATTTTATATACAAAATTCGTCTGTGTGTAACCGTGCACTTTCTTTATTTATCGATATAATTTTTCAGAAATTAAATATATAATATCTAATTATATAAATAATATAAAAATCTAATTTTCATTTCAAAATTCTAATTAATATAAAATTTAATTGAAAAAGAAGGTTTTTGTAATATAAAGTGTAACAATTTTAAGCTATAATCAAAATATCTATAAAGAAATTAGAAATTAGAAATATTTCATTTTTATTATTATTTTATATCCTTTTATTTTTCAAAAATAATGAATAGTTATTAAAATAGGAATATTAAAAATGACTAATTTTGGTGCATTTTCAAGTGATCCATTCGATGATATGATCCACTCGCGTATGAATCACGTTATAGTTAAATATATATATTAAGTCTCTTTATTATTAAGCAATTATATTACATAATATTATTATCTCAGAAAATCCAGAACTTCATTTGATTTAGTATTATAATAGAATCTTCATTAAATCTATATTAAAATATTTATTATTATTTGACTTTTGGAATATATATCTTATATTATCAATTTTGCTTTTAGACTCAAAAAAAGAGATTATCAAATGCTTAATACTTGAAGTTCTATATACATATCGATATTTCATATACTATAAATCTGATTCCAATATTACTATGAAGAAAAGGCTTTTATTAGAAACAATAATATAGGAATTATTCTCTAAACTTGCTTTTAATCTTTATAGAATCAATGATATTAATATAATAGAATATTATTATTTTTAATATTTGTTTTTTGGATAATAACAAAGTGATATCATGCTTGTCGTGATGAGAGACAGCAAAGACGAAGACTTGATTATGTTCTTTAAACATTTTCGATGCTAACCAGAGGGAGATGATTGAGATAGAAGGAAGATCATTATCTTTATTGAGGTCATAAAATATATACGCTCTAGAGTTACATAAACAACTTTAGTCTTTCCAGAAAACAAAACCTCAGATTAATTTCATATTGTTACTTTGCTTCCGTCAAACCAGTCGGAAAAGATCCGAAAATAGTTAACTCATATTGCTGAGTATGTCTTTTAATCAGTTTTTATAATAGCCTATATCTAAGTACAATGATTTGGACCGCGGAATTCTACGGAATTAGTCGTAGTTTTATACAGCCTTGACCGTTGGCTAAGTCGCTCGGCCCTTATACACCCACTCTCTTACAACCCTCAGAAAACGGTGGTCCAATAATTTTCTCCCCACCATATTCCCGACTTATTCCCAGCCTAATGGTCCGTGACCGAAGATCATCAAAATCGAAAGCACGTGTCTTTGATAGCCTTGACAAATCCCATGAGTATACTCCAAAAGCAAGATACCTTGCCATGATCTATATAAAAGTAGTCTAGTATTCTTGACGAAACTGTATTGATGGTAATAGAAGTTATAGATAAAATAATCGAGGTATATTCCAATCTTGAAAGATTTGACTTTCAATGATCATAACTAACTTTTGAGAATCCGAACAGATTGATCCTGTCTGCTGCGATGGCAACAATGATCTCGAATTTTCCGCAAACGAAAAACCGCAATATATTACGATATTAAAGAACGTCGGATAGAAGAGCCCCAGTCTAGAAAACATAATACAAGAGGACGAGATAACTTTAGGCAAAACAGATGATGGCTTCCCATCGGTGGAGAACATGCTAGTTCCGCCTTTGCCAAGGGAGATCTCAATAAAAAGACTTCAATATAACAGGAGCATTCAAAGTGTATGTATTAGCTCCAGTGTAGGCAATAGTATTTCCCGTATTTCGTATACGGGTTAGTTTAGTAGTGCGTATCGAGTTTTTTCGAAATATGTACATATATGGTATAGAATTCAATACCACTAAAAATATTCAATATCATTTAATTATTTAATATTATTAGCAATATACTAAAATACTAGAATTTAATATAAAATATATATTCCTATCCAAATTAAACTAGAAATAAGAGATTCCTATTCAATTTGAAATAAGGAATAGAATTTTATTATTTAATTTGAATAGAAATATATATTTTATATTAAATTTCAATATTTCAATATATTGCTAATATTCTCTAGATATATGAATATATATGAAAATGGTATAACCTTCTTTCTATATGTACTAGCTGCAATATCAATATGCTAATACACGTCACAGTTTCACTGCAGTATACTATTGCCTACACTGATTAGCTCGGTATACCTTTTTATTTTAATCTCTAGATCCTTATGATCTTCTTGCTTTCTTGCGAACAACTTTTCAATCAAAGATCTATCTCCAAAGCGTTGTAGTTCCCTAACACCAACACTGAGGGTGGTATCCCGTATCTATCAGCTTACTGTACAGACTCATGAAAACGTCTGGGATTGCTTTGTAAGCGTGTATAATGACGCCCTGAGTAACACCATCCGGGCCCGGAGTTCTCCCCTGAATCTTCACTGAGCAAGCAACCCGGAGTTCAATTTCTGATAATACTGGCCATATCCAGGGACTATCCGCTATGTATCCAGACCATTGTGGTTGCTGGGTTGTTGAAGGAGGCGGGAATAGTTTAGTTCTGAATGCCTGAATTTTTCCAGTGAATGATCTTTGAAGTCTTTCTATAGCTAACTTGACATCCGGAATCCTCCCCTCATTGCACTCCTTGATGTACTTGAAGGCTTGAAAAGTAGATTCTGTATCCTCATTCTCTAGAAATTCATTCCAGTGCTCTTGTTTAGCGCATTGAATCGCTTGAAAATAAATGTTTCTACATTATTTCTTGCGCTGCTGAAAGATTTCGTTGGTTAGGGTAGTTCTTACACTTTCTAGTAGCTTTCGAATATTCATTTGGAACATTTCTGAGTTTGGGAGACCACCACCTCTTCTCTATACCTTTTGCAGTGTTGCGTGGGATTGAGACTTCTGCTGCTCGGGTGATGGCCTTAGATAGTTCTTCTGCAGCTTGGCCCAAACTGCTTGTGTGAGGAGTATCTCCTGTCAGCAAGCTCAAGAATTCCCTCATCTCAAAAAGTATAGAGTTCACTTGGAGTACTGTCTGAAGGCTGAGGTCTTGTTTTATTTTGTTCTCAAACTTCTCCCAGTCAGCCTGTTTGGTATAAATCTAGATATCGATATGATATCAGGAATAAGAAATGAGTTGAGTTCGTGCAAGCCAAACAGCAATCCACAATGATCTGATCCGCTTTCGGGAATAACTTGCCAGTTTGAGATCCGATCCACAAGCAGTGTAGGCAATAGTATTTCCCGTATTCCGTATACGGATTAGTTTAGTGATATATATCGAATTTTTTCGAAATACATACATATGTAATATAGAATTCAATACTACTGAAAGTATTCAATATTATTTAGTTATTCAATACTATTAGCAATATACTGAAATACTGGAATCCAATATCCCTGTGGTGGCAAAGTTAATATTCCGGACGAAGATAAATTCAATATAAATCCCTATATAAATTTCTATTTCATATATTATAATATTAATATATATATTTATTAATAATGAATAAAGCTTTTTGTTATTAATAAATCAAATTAATTCTTTTTATAATTTGTTTATTATTAAATTTTGATTAAAAAAAAGAAAATGAGAATCTTGAAAGGTCTTAAAGTTTTTAAGATTTTTGAATATTAGAGTTAAGGGGAAGGTGGATGGAAAGGTATATGTGTAGAAGATTAAAGAGATAAATAAGAGTTAAAAAGAAGAAAAGAAATAAGTATAGAAATTAAAAAATAGGTGGAAGATATTAACTAAAAGTTTAAAAGGGAGTAGAATTCTTTTGGTAAGTTATATTATATAAGGGAAATCTATAAAAAAGCTTTCAAATAAAATTATAAACTATATTATTATATTATATAATATAGAATGTATTATATAAATAAGAATATAATTTAATTTTAATTTATATATGAATAAATTTGAATTCAATAAATAGAAGTATAATAGAAAGATTAATAATCCTTAATAAATTCTAATTAAAATATCTAAAAAAACTTTTCTATTTTTTTATTAAAATCTAATAGGAAATCAATTTAGAAGGAAAAGAAGAGGAAGAGAGGGGAGGAGAGGTTGAAAAGTAAGTAAAATCTAGAAGCTTTCTATTTAATAAATAATTGTTATCTCAGATCAAAACTTTTAATTAATCTTTTAGAATTCAAGAAATTTATTAAGAATTTATTGATTAGAATAAGCTTTGTAAGATATAGAGACTTAGATTGATTATATTAATACTTTAAAAACGATTTATTCAATATATAATAAAGGTATTATAGAATTTATGGCAATTACGAAAGGATTACTTCGTCAACCACGGATTCTGCCACCACAGGGTATAAAATATATATTCCTATTTATATTAGATAACAAATTTCTATTCCTTATTTCAAACTAAATAAGAATCCATTATTTCTAACCTAATTTGAATAGAAATATATATTTTATATTGGATTCTAGTATTTCAATATATTGCTAGTATTCTTTAGTATATAAATATATACAAGAATAATATAATCTCCTTTTTATACATACTAGCTGCAATATCAATATACTAATACGCGCCATAGTTTCACTGTAGTATACTATTGCCTACACTATCCACAAGGGTAGGAGTGGCTAGCGTGAGATCAAGTACACTCGGACGTGTCAGATTTGGCCTAGTAAAGGTTCCTACTCCTGGCCATTGGCGAGCTCGAAGTTATTATCTTCGAACCATTCGTAGAGTTCTTCTGCTTCTAAACTAGGTTCGTTGAAATGGCCCCAACTAGGGTGATGGGAGTTGAAGTCTCCTATTAACAGAGATTGTGGATGCAGAGATGTGGTGAAAAGACTCCGGGTAGTGGTCTTCTCACACGTATTTCCCTCGTTGTAGATATTGATTGGCTGAATCTCTTTGCCTCCCTCTACAATGCTGAGAATCTGGAGATCCGCATCGTTGGGGGAATTTCTAGAGATTGTGACGAGACTTTTGAAGTGTTTGGCGATATATGTGATAGTGCGTGGCTTGTGTGCAGAAGGATAGTTTGGGAGAATCTGGTGGAGGCTGCTGTGCACCACTGACCTCGTGTTCTTGTATCCCCAATGGGGGTTGAGATTGGATGAGATATCATTATTCCATCCATGACGTTGCTCTAATCTTGCCAACGACAAACAAAATTGGACCATTATGAATATGAGCAGATTACGTACAAAGGCTGAACTCGGAATTAGTATGGGATACAAAGACTCAACATCTATACGCAGTGCATCCTACTAATCTCCAGCTTTTTATAAGAGTTTACAAAGCTAAGTTCGAGTTATTTAATAAAGTTGTAATAATTAAAAGAAAAAAAGGTATTTGATTATAATATTTTTATTTATCTATAGTTTTTTGATAATCGCATTATTGGAATCCACTTTCTATAACATTATCTTTATTATGAAATAAAGGATAATACTATTATCTACAATAATACACTATAAAATCATCTCTAAGAGCCCTCTGGAGCATTAGGTGCAATTTACCATTTTCGATTTGTGCGGGAATTTGTATGCTGAGGCTTTTGTCCAGAGTTATCACATAATCAACTCCATTTTTCTTCTTCAATTTCATTCAAATAATAATACACATATACTGGAAAAAAACTGGGGAATACGACTTGAGCTAATAATGTATCTACCATGGGAATCAATGGAGGAATATTGAACTAATAAGGGTGTAATGCCCCCTACAATCAATACCCTTAGGGAATTAGTTGACAAAAAGGACTTGTCAACTCTGGTCCGTCAATTCAAAGGATATATACTATAAGTTTGAGGGTTTTGTAGAATCACTACTCCATTGCTTCAATACTATAAAGTCGATATTAGGCAAGGTATGATTGTTGGGAAGTTACGAACAGGACAAAAGGTTAATATGAGGAAAGGTTGTTCGGATTTGATTGATGGAGAAGTTTGATTTGGAAAATCATGAGTGTAATGCTTTGATTAGTATTTATTTACTATATGCATTATGTATAGTAAATAGGCTTGTTCCCTAATATTTATTTTCACTTCCATTATTTGAAAATATAACTATTTTTGTATACTAGTTAGCTAGCAGTAACCCATTATTCCCTGTCAAGAGCTTAATTGAGCTTTTGGCTGTCCTATATAGTCTTGGACTGAAGGTGGACGTTAATATAAATCAATCAATCAATCAATCGGAATTAGTATATTTTTTCATACTCGTCTAAGCAGGTGAATAGAAAAAAGTATCTTTCAAGCTAGTCGTTACCATATATCTCGAGGGTCAAGTAGTGTGCCCCTTCGGTTAGTCTATTCCGTCGAAGCATTAATAGAAGAACAGCATTCAAGATGTTATAGATAAAAGATAATTAAAGTAAGGGGAGCAATTCTCTTGGGATGTTTTCGTGTGAGATTTGAAGTTAAGAAGTATTAGGGGATGAAGTGTACATCGTTTTTGGTGATATGATGCCATACTAATGATTGCAGTACACAGAGTAGGAACCTTCGTCTATTTAGCAAGCATAATAACACACTATCTCTCAATTGAATCTCTCAAGTTTTGCTAACATCGCCAGATTCAAATCTGTGAAGACTTCCTGCAATCGACCATCTCCCAGCAATACAACGACATCTCTTCCAGGTTCTGTGTGCTTTGCTAACACCTCAATCCTATGAGCAACACATATAACAGTATGCCCCTTCTGAGTAAACTCATCGTCAATGATACCGTGTATGACTGACTCTGTACCAGGGTCAAGAGAAGAAGTAACTTCGTCTAAAAGAACGACAGGTTTTCGACCAGAACGCTGAGCTGTTTGAGCTTTGACAAGCGCCCGGCAGAGTGCAAGTAGCTGGCCTTGCCCTACAGAAAGTTCTGACAACATTGAAAGGTTCATGTCCAAAATTGGATGTTGGTTGTAAGGCAAATTATCAATAGAAAGTCCTGATTCAGTCTCTAATATTTCGTTCATTCCAGCCGACCCTTGCTTGAAGTGTTCCCAGAGTTCTGTTCTATCTAACGAGGCAATTAAAGCCTCATTCGATAGTGCAGCATCTGGGTCCAAATTAAAACGCAATGACTCGTTGAACAGCAGTAGAGGATCTTGCGATACAGTGATGAAGCAGCGTTGTCGGAGAATATCAAGCCCAACTTTCTTGATGTCAATGCCGTCTAGCACAATCTGGCCGGATTGCAACTCGAGAAGCCGTAGAAGCGTCAATAGTAGGGTGCTTTTGCCACTAATATGAAAGTGAGTATTCGAGAACATTAGTGTAGTGAAAATACGGACCTGCCTGTACGTCCGCAGACGATAATTTTCTGGCCTGAGATGATATTTAAGCTCAGATTTCGGAGAGCCATTGAATCGGATCTAAGTTTTATTCTTGTTAGCTAGCAGTATTAATGACCTTTTTGAAGATTATATACATATAAGATGCAGTAATATTCTTAAATTCGATATCCCCTCTAGAAGGCCAGGACTCTGCGGGCTCCAAGTTCCAGGTCATGCCACCCTCAAATGGTGTCATCTTTTCAAGTGTCCTCAAACGAGCAATGGCTCCGAGAGAAATTTCTAATGCCGTCCAACTCTCTACGAGTTTTATCAAGGTTGTATTTGCCACGAGCATAATATTGAGGGCGATTCCAACTTGTGCACCACTAACCCGATCTCGATATGCTATAGCTATAGCAATAACACTGGTTGCAACAGCAGCTGCTAGTAGATCCAAGACGACATTGAGCCATCTCTGAAGACACAGGAGGAGAAATTCGGGACGCTGGGCATTGTCCAAACTTATAATGTTATCCTGTATTATTGTATTTGACCAACCAAACGAGCGTATTGTTTCGAGGCCCTCAACCTAGAATTATTAGCCAAAGACTCATTATCGGAAATTTATACTTGCAGATTCTAAGAAGCTCGAGAAAACCCCAGCCCTGGCCTCTAGCTCCAGAAACCGAAGTTGTCTAGAGGTACGGAGATAGACTTTCTGGACGACGTAGACTACAAGTATACAGGCTGGTAGGCACACTACGAGCCATTTCTGGGCGATGAAAAGAAGTATGACTTGCATCAAGAGCTTGAAGGTTTCTGCGTACGTTAGGATCTGTTAGGTAATTTGAGAAGGTGAAATTCAATAATTGTCTTACGAGTTATAATAGTCTGAAGGGCCGGTGGTAGTTGCTTGTCCACGAGCTGGATGTCTTGACTAAATCTAGAAAACTTTTAGTTTTTACCAAAACATTCTGTATATAAATTGCTACCTATTTAAAATCGAACCATTTCCGGTTTGGGAAAAATATGACAATGGTGCACTGATAACTATCAGTTTCTCCTATATCATCTTTCATCTTTTGTGGAGTAAAAGAGACTGACCTCGTTACGATATGTAGAAGCCGTTCGTGTAAGCGGGATCCAGATTGCGGCGCTAATCGTATGAGAACTGCCCTATAAGGCGTTCAATGACCATTAGCTCATAGGAGTTTGCAAGAAACCTACCACATCTGGAAACTCGTTGTGATCCACGACATAAAAGATAGAAATAGAAATCCAGAGACATAAAACACAGTATCTCCACCACTTGAATCGGTCCATAACTGTAGGTAGTATTGAGGTATGGTGATGAAGAAAGCATATGACGCTGTATAAGCAATAAGAAGAAAAAGGTTTTTCGATTCAACAAACTTTAGATAGTATCCTTCGTTTATATCAATTATGATTTCAACGTTGAGGAAGCAAAGAAAGGAATTACCATATAGAGCCGGGTCTCCACTCTGTCTTGCAAGGTCAATTTCAGCTTCGTCTTTTGCTCGAACCTGGGCGCTAAGTTTAGCAAAGGCTGCCGAAACCGTAGCATTATCTTTGGTATGGCTTCCAGAAGAGAACTTTGCTATAGATCCAGCTTTAATTTTAATACTTTGCCAGTTCCCTTGATCTATAATCCCATTGTCTCCCAAAACAACGACATGATCTGCTGATTGGAAGTATTGAGCTATTTCACAATAAGGTACTGCATTGAGATGCGAACAAGGAAAACTTACAAGAGTTAGATACTAGGATGACAGTAGTCTTCAATCGCCGCATTAGGCCTGTATATCCGAATAAATTATCAAAGATAGTTTGCTCTGTATCCCCGTCTAGTCCACTAAAAGTATCATCCAGCAGAAGCATATCCGATCTGGCAAATAACGCTCGTGCTAGTGTCTACCGTTGTCAATTTAGTGTATACCTCGTCGTTCTGGAGCACATACCACACGCTGTCTTTGGCCTCCAGACAAATTAAGACCTCTGCTGCCAATCTGTGTCTGATCTCCATCAGGTAGGGTATCGAAGTCATGAGTGAGACAGCATATTTCTGCTACGGTATCATACCATTTCTCATTATCGTGCGTTATAGCACTGTCAATATCCTTAGCACCATAAATAACCTCTTTAATGGTACCACTGGGTAGCCAGGGTCTTTGTGCACAGTATGCTATCTTTCTTGTTGATAGAGTAATTGATCCAGCAGCAGGTATCACTTCTCCAATTATAGTGCGCAATAAAGTCGATTTGCCGCTACCCGTAGGGCCTGAGATTATAACGAACGACGTGGCGCGTACTCCAATGTTTATATTGTCAAGAATTATCTGCTTATTACCGACTCTCAGCTGATGGATTTGAACTGCGGGATTAGGTTTTGTGAGATGACCGGCTGCTGGGTTCCACGCCAGTTCACCTTGAGTGGGTCTAGGTAATGTTCCACGATTGTCTTGTAAGGATGGACGGAGCAAGAATGATTGAATTCTTTCAAATCCAGCAAAAGCCGCCACTGCACGCGGCACGATAGTCATGACCATGTTTGCTGGGTGGGTAACCATACTCAAAATTGCCATGGTTGGAAATGCAGTAGTTGTATCGAACTTGATACCATAAGCTTGTGATATAACAGCAAATATGGCTAGCGTAATTGCCGGAGAAAATATCCCCAGTGCGTTAGCTACATTGTTGTTAGCATACGCATGGAAAGGCTAGATTCACGTATTACTGTCGACGAACCAGATGCATTGTAATATACCATAACCCATCGAAGTTTCGAAGCCACCCAGAGCTCCTCTTTTCGAAGTTGCTGCACTCGGTAGTTAAGGTTATGTTGGAATCCAATCATCTTGACAACTTTCATGGCACTTATAAATGAACTCGTAGCTGCTATACGACTTTGCGTCGCCGAATTCCAAGCTTTTTGGTGAGGTTGTAAATGCTTCGCAACAAATCGGCTCATGTGTGAACATACTACCCAACTTAGTATAATATTAAGAGATTAGAGTGAAATACTGACAATAAATCAGAAAAAGCGGTAAAGACCAGATCCAACCAACTTGAATAGCGAGAAGCCTTATACCAATCAGGACTTCAATGACTTGAGCCCATGTTTCGTGAACCATTTCGGCAATCCCATCAAGACTATCTGCATCCGTACTCATGAGTGTGGTTGCCTCGCCATTATCATAAGCAATGCTGGGCGATTCCATAGTCTTTGCATGAATCAATCCCACAAGGGCTCCTCTGGTCATAAGTTTCAGTCTGTTTATGCGGTGTTGGTACACAGCTGTTGATAGCTAGACACATTAGCTTGTGGTAGGAAAACAAAGACAGGATCTTACAGCTAGGCCAACATAAATAGCCATGGCTGATACAACAAGCCAAAATCCCTGGCTGCTATCTTCCGTGGCAGGATATGCTACAACGTACTTAATGGACTCTTTTATTAGGGTAGGTTGAGAATAGCGGAAGGCGATCAAGAATAGTCGGGGTATGACAGCAGCAAAAAATGGTTGCTTCAGGCATTTCATCAATGTCAGAGGTAGGCTGTTCTTCGTATCGGGCTTGGCTAGTTGTGTGAGAGGTGAGAAAATAAATGTCCTGGATCTTCTGACTAACCTCGACGAGACCATGTTTGAAGCATTGCCTTCCTTGTAAACTCTGGCTTCATATCTCGGCTGAGACGCGGTAAATCTTGATCGACAAGAATATTTGTATATCCTTGAAGCAAGATGGGGTTTATCCAGGTGTACAATACCCTGTCTAACACGCTACGTGATTCTTCTGGGGATCGGAGATTGCTGGAGCTGCTAGCCGAAGGGCGTTTATCACAAATCTCAAATACGAAAAGGGTTGAGTGTATGAGACACCGAGCAAGTATTGGACGTGAAGCTCTAGATACAGCCTGGATTTTCGACGGCATGGTAAGAAGAAGCACATCGCATATGATTGATGGTACAAGGTACAGAATGGCTAAGTCTGACGGTCTCAGAGATCGCTGTTGCTCAAGTACCAAAAGCAGACTCAAACCAAATGCAGCACCCGACGAAGCCAGCAGAGAGATAACGAGAATGATTTCATGCTCCACATGTACGGTGACAGCATATATCAACAGAATAAAGGAGAGTAATATTCCAAGAGCCTATGGTCATTATTGGCGTTGTTCATCCAGATATTGAATGGAAATAAGTACTGACCGCTTTTGAGCGTCCTTGCCATCTTAAGGCATTTTTCGCGCGAGAAATACGCAGCTGCCAGATTCTAGCAGGCAAATACAATATAAATGCTACTGCGCAAATCGCAGATAAGATATTTACAGCATTTGTAGGTTCTACAACACTGCTTTGCGAGAGGCGTCTCATAAGAATGAGTTTAGGATGGAAGGCATTGTGCTTCCGAAATTGATTCATGACAGGCAGATGTTCCATGCGCTCAACTTTCTTGTGACCAAATGGTGGTTAAAGGAGGGAAAGATACCAGGGTTTAAGTGTATCAGAAGAGCTCTCCGGCGGGAGAAAGCTTAGGTGGTTTCAAGTGTAAGTTGTTTTGTTCATGTTGCACCATATGGTATTTGGTTATGCCACATTAGGCTAGTCTTTCTCAAATCCCGCCTCAATACTACCGCACCACTATCCCCGTACTATATTTGATAGATTTGCGTTAGCTGCTTTACAGAAGGTGAACAGAATTCCAGTTGCGCTCCTTGTAGGTAAGCTGTAAAAATTTGTGTAAATACTCTAATAGTAATCGTGCAGCTCTGATCCACTTATGTATTGGCTGCAGACCCCCTGACAGCTTACGCTTGGCAGCCAGATGCGAACCTAACGACCGAATGCGCGGAATAAATTTTTTTTTGATTTGATTTCATTTATGTCCACCTCCAGTCTAAGACTATATAGGACGACTAGGCCTCTAGGGGCTCTAGTAGATAACTTTTTATTCTATAAGATTAAATATATTTAATTTAGAAGAATAAAAACAATTGTTAGAAATCAATACCTATTTATTATATGTATTATATATAATAAAAAAATTAAAGAAATATAATAATTAAAGAATTAAAAAGAGATTTATTTCTTATTTTTCCAATTATTATTTTTTTATTTTTATAATAAATTTTTTTCCCTCTATTATTACTTTTTCTTTTTTAAATATTCTTTTTTTTTCATTTTATATAAAAACTTTTACTAAATACCATGCTCTTAAAATAAGTTTGATAATATTAATAAATTGAATTACTAATTTAATACCTGCTTTTATATGCAATAGAAATTATATAATAATTTTAAATAGAAATTTTTTTTAATTTTCTTTTCTTTCGATTTTATATATTAAATAATTAATAAGAAAATATTATATTATTTTAATATTATTACATATACATTTGTAATTAATAAACTTAAATCAATATAAATAAAATTTAATATATTTATATCCTAATTTGAATTGAAAATATATATTAACAATATTTCGATTAAACCCACTTGATAGCTTAATTTTCGATTTTATTTTCCATAGAAATAGTTTTGAATAAATTAATAAAGATTGATTTAATTTAAATTCATATTAATTGAGAATAAAAAGCTATTAGTTTAAATTGTATTCTTTAATAATTATTTCTAATAGTTTAAAGTTTATTTCATTTAAAACAAATTATATTATAGTTGTTTTTCTTGTTAGTTTATTTACTAATTTGTTTTCTATAATCAAAATATAATCAAAACATAATCAAAACATGATTAAAATATGATTAAAATATGATTAAAATATGATTAAAATATGATTAAAATATGATTAAAATATGATTAAAATATGATTAAAATATGATTAAAATATGATTAAAATATGATTAAAATATGATTAAAATATGATTAAAATATGATTAAAATATGATTAAAATATGATTAAAATATGATTAAAATATGATTAAAATATGATTAAAATATAATTCAAATATAATTCAAAAATATTTCAATTCCTTTTGCTTTAATAGTATGTGAACAAAGGGTATTTACTTCAAAGGAATGACTTCAATACAATGGCTACTATATCAAAGGGATTAAGCGAATACAAAAGAAACTAGCTCTTTCAGTAGTGTCTATATAAGGCCTACTACTTTTCTATATTGCTAGCTCTTTAGACAAAATATAATTAGATATATAGGATCTACAAATATATGGATATTATATTTTCCATATCCTTTTCAAACTAATATTAATTAATAATATCACAAATTACTTTAAACTAATTATTGATTCGAGTAGGATACGGAAGACGTAGCATCCACGTATTCGTAGGTCCTGTATATCTAATTGTATTCTATCTAAAGAGCTAGCTATGTAGAAAAGTAGTAGGCTTTATATAGGCACTATTGAACGAGCTAGTCTCTTTCGCATTCGCTTAGTCCCTTTGATACAGTAGCCATTGTATTGAAGTCATTCCTTTGAAGTCATTCCTTTGAAGTCATTCCTTTGAAGTGAATACTCTTGTTCACATACTAATTATTCGAAATACCTTTTTATTCTTACTTCTTTTATTTCTATTATTAATATTATAATATCCTGGGTAAATATTAATTTTAAATAAATTAATAAGAAATCTAATTAATCTATTAATATAGAAGCTTACAACAATATAACTAATAATATTAACTTTTTATAATAAAATTATAAAAATTCTATGTATAATAATATAATTAATGCTTCTTCTTATCTTTCTATTTCTATTAATTCCTATATTCCTTTTAATAAAGTATTAATTAATAATAAAAAAGCTTAGAAAACTATTAGGAATTTAAAGTTTAAAGAAAAGTTTTAAAAAAGAAATCTTCTAAAGAATTTTAATAAAACTAAATAATTTTATAAAGAATATATATTCAAAATTGAAACTAAATATTAGATTAATAAATATTTTCTTTTCAAAATAACTATATATTTAAAAACAAGGATTATCGATATATTTCTTTAGAATATAATTATATTCGATTTTGATCTTATTTAATAATTATTGTTACGATATACATGTGATCGCGTTTGATCAGGCTAGTGCGGCACTAAGCTCAAAGCCAATCGCATATATAGCTCGTAGCACACTCTCTTTAATTCTATAGCTTTTAATTCTAAGATTGATCTCTAAACGCTTATTAGATTCATTATATTATTAAAAGCTTTTTTAGATAAGAAATAGAATAATATCTGTATATACTTATAAATAAAGCTCTTATATATACTCCGCTTGCTTTTATTTAGATATACTGTTTTTGCTTTCTTATTTATATATAGATTTTTTTGATTTTAATTAAAGATATTATCTCTTTTCTTATTCTTAATTTCTTAGTTATAAAGATTAAGATTTCTTATATAATTAAGGAATTTTATAGCAAAATAATCCAATAGTATAATAAAATCTTTTTTTTACACTTTTTAATTCTCAAGTATTCTTCTATACTATATATATTATCCTAATTGAAATCCTTTCTTTCTAATTCTGAAAAATTTAATAATAATTCCTAGAAATTTGATATATAGTTATTTTTAATTCAAATAAAATTATAAATAAATAATATTATAATTAGCAATTCTATAGCTTAATTTTATTATATTTATTTTAATTTCAAATCTTATATACAAACTATAATATTATCTTAGTTTTTTTTTTTAATCAAAATATTCCCTTAGATTATATGATAATTCTGAATCAATTTATATATATTTATAATAATTCGAATAAAGTTTAAAAGGTTGAAGATAAATTATTTAATCTCAAATAAGAAACCAATTCTTTATATATCTATATTATGAAATTCAAAAGAACTCTTTACAAAATTAAAAAATAGAATTAACCCAATTTGAATAAAATCTCAACCTTTTGTAATAAACTCAATATAACTCTTAGAAATTGTTTTTTTCAATAGCTTTCTCTTTCCCATTCTTATCCCAACTTTATTCAGGTCATACAACAACTAGCTATATAAACAGCGAATGGATTCCCTGCATTATCCCACTCTAATGAACCTAGAGCTTTATATATACTGCAGAATCCGTTTTACTCTTAAAACCATAATTCAATGAATATTGGTAACCTTAATATCATTAGTGCTTTTGATTCTCTTAGGGCCTAAACCAATTCTACCCCGATTCCACCCCGCTCTTACATACCCAAGTTTTTCTTTACTAAAAGAACTTTATTATATAAATAAAATAAGTATATTCAATATGAAAATACTTTTTATTAGATATAAGTCTACCTATTTGATTTATATTAAGATATTCGAAATCGAAAAGAGCTTATTATAGCTACAATTATTTCTACTAACTTTAATTATAATAATAATAATAATAAGAATCTAAATGAAATGATTAATGGCTAATACTTTGAAGATTATTTGAAAGATATAAATACTTCTCATAACGCTTTCCAATTAATTGCTATATATTTAACATCTCAAGGTGTTTTATATAAAAACAATGAAGAAAATAATAATATTGATAATAAAAAGGAGAATGATTATTAATCATATTTTATATTTAAATTATTCGTTTAAAGCGAATTTGAGATGAATTTTCTAGAAGAGAGGGGTAGTGTTATAATATATATATAATTGTATTCGATTGGGCTAGTGCGGTATTAAGCTCGAAGCTGATCGCATATATAGCTTGTAGTACGCTCTCTTTAGTTCTGTAGCTTTTAATTCTAAGGTTGATCTCTAAACGCTCGTTGGGTTCGTCACAATTATGATTTAAAAGTATTAATAAGTTAATATTATATAACTTTTATAAGATCTTATAATATTATAGAATATATATTAATATTAATATAAATATCAATAAGACTCTTACAAAAATGTTTTTCTATAATAAATATTATTATTAAACTAAGAAATAACTTCTGGAATACAAAATTAATAAAGTCTAATTATTTGTTTTTACAAAATAAACTAATCTTCTTATTAGATTTAATATAAAGACTTAAATTGAACTCTTTATTAATCCTTTTATTAAGCTTTTGAATAATGATTTTATTGATTATCTAATTTTGTTAAAATTTGATAAAATTAAAACTCTTTTTGATATATATAGAGGACTACTTTTATTTTATAGTATTAAGGATATATAAGTTCTATATATAATTTTGCCGGGATCTAGAATTCTATTAGTAAATATCTTTATAGAACTATTTAATAATAATAATAACTCGGATAATTCTGATAATAAAAACAACTAAAGAAATAGTAATAATAAAAAGAATAATAATAATTAAGGAAATAAAAAAATCATAATTATTCTAATTACAAAAATGATTAAATTATTAATTAATATAATCAAAGTCGATATTTTATTAATCTTTTAAAAATTTATAAGAATAATAATAAATATAAAAATATTAATAATTCTTTTGATTTAAAGATTTC